GCAGTGCAAGGGGTCTAGGACTCCTGGGTCCATCGCTCCTATCGCCACCCACTGCAGGCTCTCGGTACCTAAGGGATTGGCCACCGTCCATTTTAGCCTGTGGTAGGACCCCTCCACTTTCCCTCCGGGCCTTAGCACTCAACGTGGTAGGATTGGCCCGGAGTCGGCCCTGGGGCTTACCCAGCAGCACTTTGCAAGCTGCTCTCTATTGCCAGCCTGTTAAAAACACACCTTCTAATTAATTAAAATCTGGAAAACCCCTCCGCCTCGCTAGTCGAGAGTAAAGTGTGCAAAGCCAGAATACTGCCGCTTCTCGAAAAGGTCAGAGAGCCTCTGCCACAGCGGATCCCAGCTTTTGCGTTACGCCACAGAAGCAGAGCGGCCATTTACTACCCCTTGATTGCACCGAGGACCAGGTTACCTCATAAAGCCATTCACACTCAACAATGAGGATTTTCTCAACAATTAACAAGAAACAACATAATAAAGCCATTTACAAAGACCTTGCTATTTACTATAAATTAGGCACTCTTTAAGAGACCAGTGCGTAATTTCACACACTTTACAACTGTGGCTGCATTTTAAACACCAGGGAAAACAAGCTTGTTGCACTTTTCTATTGACCTATCCGCAGTTCACCTCTACTTTCCCTCTTTTGGAAGTTACTGCTTTGTTTGCTTTGCTCAACTGTAACTTCTCACAACCAGGGATTTTTTTTTTACAATCCACAACTTCAATTTTCAGCTTAACTGTGAGATTCAAAGAACCACAACAACACAACAGGCCACGTTATTCTCCCTTTGTGAGTTATTTCCCCCTCTCTCTCTCTCTCTCTCTCTCTCTCTCTCTCTCTCTCTCTCTCTCTCTCTCTCTCTCTCTCTCTCTCTCTCCCCCCCCTCTCTCTTTCTCTCTCTTTCTCTCTTTCTCTCTCTCCCCCAGATTTTGTATGTATTACACATTCTCTATGTGTGCCTCCTTCATATAGCTTGTTTGCAGCCATATTTACGTTGTGTGAAGCTTCCCTTCATTATCACTGATTTTTAAGTCGGACATGTAAACGAATGTGTTTTAGTGACACTTAACCAGCTCTCAGGCCAGAACAAAAAGATAATTCGCGTTTGCACGTGGAAGAGCTTGAACGTGGACTGAGTGTGGAGAAAGGGGCAGGGGAGCGGGGGAGGAGCATCAGATTGCTAAGGATCAGACAAAAGGAGAGCAAAGTTTAAAAAAAAAATTCAGCTAAGGAACTACCGAAGTGAGGACGAAAGAAGGAGTCCAAAAGGCTGCTCTCGTGACTGAGCGTCCTCCCGGCCTCCCTCAAAGAGAAGAGCCAGAGCAGTGGCCCAGCAGAACTGGCCTCTTTGATGTGGGAGAGAGGTGTAGGGAGAAAGGCGGCTGTGATGGAAGGGTTCAAGCTCTTCCGCCTAGGCTAATGAGTTCATAACAAATTCAGTGAAGAACCCAGTCTGGGAAAAAGGAAAAAAAATTCACACAGAAATTTGTTTGCCATCAGGCAAGATGGCGGCATTTAAAAAGTCTTCCTAGTGCCTTGTCGCTGTGGCTAGAGAACAGAAAGCAGCTCAGGGTCAGGCTAGCCTCTGGGTTGCACGTGTCTTGCTTGCATGGCTCAAGGACTCGCAGGAGCCGGCCAGCAAGAGTGGGCCAGTCTCCGTTGCTGCACGGGCATCTCTGACCCCTTTCCCACCGGGTAGGCCTTTTTTTTTTCCTCCCGTGGTTCCTACAGACACCAGGCCATCCCCCTTTCATTCCACGGAGCCAGCTAGTCCTAAATGAAGCTTCTCCAAACTGACCCTTGTTTACAAACACAGCTTAATGGTGGGGGTGAAGGGGAGCAGAGAAAAAAGATGAAGAACGTTGTGTGGTAAGGTGGGGGAAGATTTACTGGGCGAGGAAAACGTGACCAGCAGTGGGGAGCCCAAGAGAGAGATGGTGTAAGCAAGAGGTCCTCGGCAGCTGGAAAGGACAGAACGCCTTGTTTTTAAAACTGTCAATTCCCTCAACCCCTATTGTGAGAGCCTCATGCAAAACATCTCAGGCCTTTTAAAGCTGGAGCTTGTGAGGCCGCCACAGTTTGAAAAGAGGTAGAGAGAAGCGGGGACCTAGGGCATGGCAAAGAATGATAGCTGGGGCAGTTGTGGGTTTTTTTTTTCCCTCTAAAAAGCAACAGAGAGGCCCAGAAAACAGGTAAAATTCAACCCTCCTCCTCTATCTGCTTAATGTCCCCCCCTCCCCAGACTAGTGTGCAAAATGCTCTTTGGCCCAGGTCAGCAAAGCAGGCCTTTTGGGACTGTTTTCTTACGGAATAGGGAAAAAGACTAGGAGGAAATCCTGGAAATGACTAGTGGCTAAGGGAGCTAGACTCTGTAAGGTGGATGCCTTTAGCCTTCTTTCCAGTTTCCTGAGGTTAGTTGCTCCTTTTAATTTTTTTTTTCTTTTGGAGGAGCTGCCTCCAATGGCTTTGGGAACTCCCTTCATTTACATATTATATTCAAGCAGGAAGCTTTATTCTTCTTAGGTGAAGCAAATTACTCATTACATTTTCTGACTTTTGTATATGTGAATATTTTATTAAAATAACTTTACAGATCATTACTGAGGACCTCTAGAGTGTTTTGGTTTGAAATTTTTTTGGGGGGAGGGGAGGAGAAAGGCCTTTGAGATGCAAGTTTTTACATCTTTTGCCATATTTAACAAACAAAAGCATTATTCTCATTTCTGCAGACATTTCCATTTCTTGGTAATTAAAACTTTGGAAGGATATTCCCAAACTATAGAAAGCCATCCAGACAAGGATAAGACAAAAATCTATACACCAGCCCCTCTAATTTGTGTTATTGCTGCTTAGTGGTAGCTCCTTGTTGTTGTTGATTTTAAAATAAACAACCATTATTGAGATTAGTCCACTATAATCAAGTAAGCCTGTAGGAGAGAACACCCACTTTAAGAAAGGCAAGTTACATATTTTAAGGCATAGATACCTGACTGTGGAAGAAAACAAAATAAATACATCCTTTAAAAGAAAATGCCCTAGAGAATTAGGAATATTTCAAAACTTTCTTTATCGTCACTACTTCAGCAGGAATCTTTCCAGGAAATTTCTTATTATTTTTATGGGGAATGAAACCTTTAGAATATTTTCTAAAAAGCCAACGTGCTTTCCTACTTTACTTTCTATGAGTGTTGACCTTTACAAATATAGGACTCAGTGATCCTGGAGCTTCACAGTGCAGTGTGTGTGTGTGTGTGTGTGTGTGTGTGTGTGTGTGTGTGTGTGTGTGTGTGTGTGTGTAAGTTCAATTCCCTGCTAAGCTACCATATAAAACTGCATCTTAGCAATGGAGCTCTCTCTCTCTCACTCTCTCTCTTAGTAAAACTTACCTTTTCTGAACAAATGAAGCATTTACAGCAAGTTATGAAATTTAGTTTTTGTCATTAATCATATAACAATAATAATAAACTTTTCAAAACAATTCCCATAGCAGAGTCGGAAAAAGCTAAGGGGGCCACCAGGTTTTGAAAGAATATTCTTTTTTTTTTAAAGTTACTGTACAGTACTTTGTACATTTCCTCAACAGAAACCCCTACTCAAGTTTTCCCTGTGTTTGACTGTCTTGCAGTAGAATCGTGTGGGTAAAATTCATGTTGACTATTTAAATTCTCTCCTTTTGATGGTGCCTTTGTTCATCGACCCCACCAGAAAAGTCTGCAGGAATGACACACTCTGGAATGCCTCGGCCTCGATGTTGCTCATTCTCCAGCTCCCATAAACTGAAACTATTGATTCTCTGAGGGCAGGAGAGTAAGTGTCAGAGCTGGATGCCCATATTTTATGTCTGAAATTCCATAGGGTCCATTTGTTTCAAATTGTGCTTATTTCACCTCTCTCCTCTTTCTTCTTCCCCTTCCCACAAAAAGAGTATATGTGAGCTAAAAAAAAATAATGTTCTCAACTTACAATTTAGGAGAAAACGACTTCATCTTCAAGAAGTGTACAAGTTCTAGATGTAGTAGTAACAAGACTTTGACATTTCTCAATTAAGTAACTATGAAAGAGGAAAAATTGCAGACTTTCAATGTGTGTGTCTCACTCTTGAAAAAATAGTTTTCTCTCCAAAGCAATTCACTATATCTAAAAGCTACTTCCCAAAGAATCAAGAACCCAGACTGAGAGGCCAGTCACAACTTTCTGGGAATGGAAGTTTGGAAGTACTGGAAGTGTGAAGTACACTGTCTCCAGGACACTCTTACAAACACAGATTTAAGTATAACTTTCCCCAATTTATGCATCGTGCATAGCCACCATTCCAACAAAATAGTTGTTCTAAGTTTTCCCTGCATCTACATCTGGCAGCTTTGAAGAAGGGAAGGAAGGGAATCATTTCCAAAGCATCTGTTTACTCCATCCAAGTGGATTTGGATGCAGGTATTCTTAGCTCTCCTTTGCAATGAAAGGAAAACCACACCACATATCTATTCATCAGGACTGAGATCAGCCTAGTGTCTCCTGGAGATATTATAGACAAAAGAAAAGTTTCAATGGAGGTAAAATTTAAAGATTTTTCAAAAAATTGATTGTAAACTAATTTCCATTAGAAATGTTGACTTCAATTCATAAGTAAACATTTCATTGGTATTTTGTTTTCTTGTGTGATTTATGATAAGGTATTCTCCAGGTATTGATCAGGAAATGCAATTGCTTAGATTCAATTTGGCAGGGTTTTGGGATATGTAACACATTAGGCAGAGAAAATTGACTAGGAATTATTAGACCCAAGTTCCACTAGAATTACAATTGAACTGTGACTCACTTTCCTCTAACTTGGAACTTTTTACCCTTGATTTATGACAAGTTTGCAAAGTTTTTTCAAAGGATTTCACTAGCATTCTGTCCTTTCCCTGGCTCTTCTCATCTCACTTTTTCGAGGAAACACTAACCCCTGTATAAGCATTTCCTCCAAACAAAACTTAAAAGTGAAAAAGCCAAGAAAACCATTCATTCCTATTAATTATACTTCAATCTTGAATAAGTCGAAATGTATGGAACCAGGAATTTTAAACAATGTTTTTAATTGAAAATAAAGCTAAAGCATGCTTTTCAACAGTGCAAATTTCCATAATTTTGATTTACTGCTTCCATCATCACAACATATTACACCAGCACGGCCCTGACCAAGGGCTACACCCTAGCCATCTGCATGTTCCACTACTTTGATATTAAGTGCAAATATAGATAATCATCTCTGATTGTCACTTGCAGTAGAGATACTCTTGCTCTATATACAGGATGGTGAGGGAAACTGAAGTTTAGAGAGATGCAGGAAAAAAAAGAAATGGGTAACAAAATTCAAATGCCTGAGTTCTGGTACCAAAAGGCCCTGGACAGCCTGGTATTTGCATTGGTGGTGTTCTAGCCATTTCTGACCTCTCATTTGACTTTTCTGGGTTATATTAACTTTTTTGCTCTATTTGCTATCAGGAGGTGGGCTATAAATTGTCCTCCTATCCAGGGAAATATTTTAGTTGCTTTGCAAGCTTTAAGGGGCATTTTCAGACCACAACTTCAGCACATTAGTGGGGTACAGTAACCTTATTTAAGACAACAACAACAACAACAACAAACAACCCTACTTTTCCAATTGCAAGGAGTGGCTGTACAAGTAAAAACACACCTTTCCAAAAATACAATTCCATATTTATTTTTACTCATTATAGAAGAGGCAGCTTTTACCAGTACTTGAGCAGGACTCAAACCCCAACCTTTCCACTCTATAGAAAAAATAGTAAGTGCAACTCCTCTGGGGGGGGGGGTGGAGAAAAAGAAAAAGAAAAGATACCCTACACCACCGGAACAAGAGCTCCAGGAAAGTAGAGCGTGGCCACACAGAACCCTCTTGATACCTCCCTGTGTAACCATGTAACTTAACAAACTTTCACTGAATTAACAGTTATACTTCCATGTCCGAAATCTAGTGCATAAACTTAATGGCTCATTGTAATATTTATTATTCAACCTTTTGACATTTATTTGTAGCAGTTGAATTGAGGTACCCGGTGCATTATTAGCATTGAAACAGTAAAGTGTTCCAGCTCTACCATAATAACTGAGTTTTACTTGAGTCTTTAGCCTGAAGTAGTCTGTGGAATGTAAACCAACCCTCCTCCCACCCACCCCCACCCCACTAAAAAAAAAACCACAATGAAAAAAAAGTAATCCGATTTCTGTCTTCACAATGTGATAAACCAGGACTCCAAAAGGGGTGTAAAGCATAATGGACTTGTACAAACCATCCCGTGCAGTTTACAACATAAGGAAGGTAATATGGTTCAAGAAAATATCTCCCAAAATATTTTTATGAATTAAATTTCCTGAATTTGTGACTAGGTGGAAGAGGTATTGCAGAACCGCCCAGCTGCCATTTCCATATAGGATGGGCCTTGTGAGGAGGTTGGGAATCCTTAGTGGTGTTTAAGGAATAAGCCGGCAACAAATCCCCATCATTCCCAATAATTAGTGATGGTGGACAGGGAAAATTTGCCATGAAATTAAATGGCCTTTTCACTGCTGATGCTACATTGCTGGCTACCCTTTTTCGTCTATTGGTAACTGTAAAATCATCCAGTGTTCCTTCATGTGTCTCAGTTTTACCTGTAGGACGAGGGCTTCTAGCTGATTTCAAATTTGGTTTGACTGGAGGAGTCTGCAGTACAGGTCGCTTTCCCAGCACCAGTGTCCTGTAATTTTTTCTCACCCTCGCACCAAATTTATATTCCCCATCCTCAGGTTTTGGAGAACCTAAAGTGCATGAAAGGCCCTGACTCTGAGTCAGTGGATTTAAGGAAGTGGTTTCTTTTTCAGTGCATGCAAAATCTTCCTTGGCTGTTAACAAAGCGTCCTCCTCCTTACTTCCAGTCACACTGTAAAACTCACCCTTTGTATCATTGCACTCACACTTTAGCTTATGCTTAACAAGGTCAGGTTCATATTCTTCATTAGCACTACTGTCCTCTATTTTGATTTTAATATTGTGCAGAAATGGCAATGGTTTATTGCCTGAGTCAGGGCACGGAGTTTCTGTTTTAGCTGCTGCTGCTGCTGCTGCTACTGCTGATTTTGGGTGTGCAGGAGCGACAGCAGCATCCACCTCAGGATCAGTTTGTAAAGGGGGCAAATCCGTGGCAAATTCAATACAATGAGAGGTTTTGGAACCTTTTTCTGAATTTGCTGCAGCAGCAGCCCCAAAATCATTTAAAAACCTAGAAGGTATTGTATTGTTATCTGCACAGTGAGTAGTAGTAGCTTGCAGGCATTTCCTTGCCTCTCTGAGTATTCTTTGTGGTGGAAATGCATTGTTTGTCTTTGGGCTAGGTGAAGAGGCCCCCTCTGCAACGCAGTTAATTGTCAGGTCAGTTCTCTTTAAGTTATTGGAAATTTCAGAGTGTGGGAATGTGATCTCAGATACCCTATCGTTCCTTATCTCTGTAAAACAACTTCCCAGGCTGCCGGGGCAGCACACGGGAGGCGCTTTGGATGCCCAGCCCTGATGACTCCAATCCTCTGGCGATTCTGCTTTGACATTGCTTTTGAGGTCGGGCAGCTTGCCGGCCTCCTCGAAAGCAACGGGTTTGGTTGCAGTAGCGGCGGTGGCCAGGTGGTACAAGAAGTTGGCCTGCGCCTGCATGCTGGGGGGTTTACAAAAGCTGGTACGCCTGAAACGGATGCTCTGCACTGAGACCTGGCTGGAGCCGGAGCTGGAATCCGAGTCCGAAGACGTGTCCTCCTCCTCAGAGCTGACTTCGCTCGAGTCCGACAAGCCACTCCCGTCTTCCTCCTCCTCCTCTTCTTCCTCCTCCTCCTCCTCCTCTCCCTCTTCCTCTTCTTCTTCCTCTTCGGAGGACACGGAGTTGCTGGTACTGGACAGACTGGAGCCAAAATCCGAGTCGTTGGCTGCATGGTCCGAGTACGAGCTGGATTCGGAGTCGCTACTGTAACTCTCGGGGAAGCTGCCCAGATGTGGCTGCTGCTGCGGCGGCTGCTGCTGCTGCTGCTGCTGCGGCGGCGGCGGCGGCGGCGGCGGCGGTGGCGGCTGAGGAGGCGGCGGCTGGTGATGGGGGAGGTGCGGGGGATGGTGGGCAGGCGGCTGCGGCGGCGGCGGCTGCTGCTGCTGTTGCTGCTGCCGGGGATGGTGGTGGTGGTGATGATGGTGGTGGTGGTGGTGAGGGGGACAGAAGCCGTTGACGAGGTGAAACCGCTCCAGACAAGTGGCCCCCGCCGCCGCCGCCGCCGCAGCAGCAGCAGCAGCTGCAGCCGCCGCCGCCGCCGCCTTGGCTTTGTAGGACCTGGGCAGGATGAGGAGGCGCCGGGCGCTGGCGTGGGGGTTCAGCAGGCAGTCCTTGCCGCCCGCCTCGCAGGCTCGCTTCCGCTTGTATCTGTAAGTCAAGCTCACGGGGCTCCCTGTGGCCCCGGGCGCGAGCTTGGGCTGCGGGAGGGCTGCGGACGACTGGTAGTAGGCGGCGGCGGCGGCGGCCGCTGCTGCTGCCGCCGCCGCCGCCGCCGCCGGGTGCTTGCTGCAGAGCAGGCTCCGAAAGTACGGGGGATCCGAGTGGAAGGCGATGTAATTCCCGGGGACTGGAGCAGTTTCATAGTTTAGAGGGGGTTTGCAAGGCGATCGCGCGATTTCCGGGTAACGCTGACCCGAGGATTTGCTAAAAATCTGAGGTAGATCGACGGCCGGTAGCGAGGCGGCGTCCCCGGGACGCAGAGCCTGCCTGCTGATTGGCAGAGCCTGCGCCGATTCATTCAATCCCAGCCAAAGTTGGTGGTTGTCCTTCCAAAAGCTGGGGTAAGGGTCGGCGGCGGCGTGTTCCGGTTGGAGCTCCTTTGTTGACAATGCCCTACTGACTTTCCTTCGCTTGGTTTTGAGGACTCGTTCGGTTTTGCAAGAAGTGTAGAGCGCTTCCACGTCTTCCCGGGAGATCAGAGTGCATTTGGCCGCGTGGAAGGCAACGCTGTTGATAGCCTTGAGTTTCCTCAACTCCTCCAGGTCGCAGTGATGCTTTTTCACCTTCAGATGATCCATTCGCTTGTGGACGGTGGTCCTCGGGATGTTTTTCAGCAAGTCTGTGAAAACCTGGGAGAGTGCAAACATTTGCTTTCCTTTAATGATGAGGTACCCGAGCCTCACGCCATCCACCTCTTCAAAGCCCGACTTCAAGTCGCCCATTTCGGGTCTTAAATGATTCCCATCATTTGCAGTAAATATATATGTGACGCATACATAGAGATGTATGTATGTTAATCCTCCACCAGATGCTGCATATGTCTCAAGGCATCCTGCTAATAAAACAACAAAGACTGTTATTCCCGGTGAAAGGGAGTGCCAAAGTCGAGGAGAAATAATATAGACATATAGATGGAAAAAAATATGAAATTACATTGACCAGATTCTTGATTGGCTTTTGCTTTTGTTTTTTGAAAAAAGGAAAAAATCATCAGGCTTCTGGTTTGCCAGTGTCTAAGTTGCTGTTGAAGATCAGTACCTGTGCCCCTTTATTATACCCTGCTTCTCCATGGGAGCCCTATGATAATGGAATGTGAAGGGAGAAAGAGAAAAGAAATGCAGCTGCTATTCCCGCCGCTGCTTTAGCTACAAATAAAATGACAGAGTGAAGTGAGCTCGTCCGGAGACACCTTCATCAATTAATTCCCCTAAAGCCAACGCTGATTGGACACTCCTGACAGGTGATGCAATAAAAATTGATATTCCACCCCTTCCCCCAAAAAAATCTCCCACTAATTAGCATACCCTTATACTGCCACCTCCCCTCCCAAAGTAAATAATACAGTTAGTATATAAATCTTTCTATTAAACTATCGGAGCTCAAATACACTGGCTCACAGACTTCATCTCCAGTAGGATGTGCATGCCTTGTAGGCTTTAAAAAATACTATATATGTATTTAAAGGAATACTGCTTATTTTTGCTTTCTTGGCGTTTTACGGACACAATGTATCATCCTTTAAAAGGAAAGGGACTTTAAAAATATTACCACGTCTACATAAGCACTCATTCCCTTCTCCTTTCTGGAAAATGGAGCTAAGGGGAAATGTGCAGAATCGCCTGGTGTTTCCCTTATGGGAGTGGGGAAGGGAGGCTGGGAACTACAAAGTTAAACCCTCGACTGTTCACCACCCCTAGCAGATACTTACGTTTTGGATTTCCCTTGATTTTCCTCTTTTGCTTAATCTAGCCTTTTTACATCCAGCAACAAAGTTATTTGATTGTGGAGGCTGTCGAAGGCTTCTGCTCCGAAATACAGTAACAGTTCAACAGAATATCTGCTCTGTAGTATGGAGGGAGGAGGTGGTTTCATGTCAGACCCATAACAAAGCATAGATAAGCCAGAAATGTGTGCACTTTTCACAATTAACCAGGCTGGATCGCCTGCAAAATCGTAGTAGAATCCCCAGCCTAGGCAATTCCAGGGTGTTGGATTGTGCAGTCAGGATTCCAGGGAGCTGATTGCTTCTGCAGCAAAGAAAAGAAAATGTAAAACACCCAAGGTGCTTCCAGAGGTTTTACGTAATAATGATGAAAAAAAAAGTGCTGCTGTGTGATGTAGACTTTCAGTAGTCTGTGATGTTCCTGGTTGGTAGTTTTCAATGAGCTTTTTCACAGTCTTCTATTTTTCCGTGGAAGCCAAGCATTCTAATCTTTTTTTTTAATTCACTTTGGATATGTAACAGTAAGATTTAACTTCTTCTTAGGTACCTTAAAGACATTTTCGTGTCATTCACAAGGATATCCCAAAGACTGCCAAGTGAGAGCAAGCTTCTTACTTGGATTACAATGCTTCCCTTGGCAGATTGCAAGCTGATATGTAAAATTCTGCAAAGTCCCACTAACTCTCCTCTGTTAACGTTTGCAACTGCAAACTGGATGCAACATAGACACTTATATAGATTCTTGCTCCTCCAAAAATAGACACATCCGAGTGGTTAAAAGAATAAACGGATATTTTTTTTGGGGGGTGCTTCAATGAGGGGAAAAGGTGTATAATAATGTCTTCCTTCTCATTCAAAAGTTCCAGCTTCCACTGCCATGGCCTGGAGAGTTTATCACCAGTAGATAAGACAAAATAAAAATAAAAATCAAGAATTTAACAGGGGAAAGGAGAAAAAAGGTAGTTTTGCATGACAAGGCGGAATCTATGCCACAGCTCCCCACCCCCACTTCAGCTCCCTTGCAATTTCCCAGGAATTCTGAAGAGAATTGGGAATTTCAAGAAGTACATCCGGAAATTAAGGAAGTCTATTTAGGAGAGTCTGTAACTCAGGAGGCTGGGATTTGAAAAGTCAGCCTTGGACTACTGTTGCACTCAGCACCGATGTAATCGCCGCTCTTCAACTTAATCAATGTGTGTACAAACCACGATGTCTAGTTCTTGCCTTTGAAATCTAAGGATAGCATTTCCATCCAAGAAATCAGAGCTATAGCAAATTACATTTTTGTCCCTTGAATGAAAGAAGGCTCATTGAATGGATCTCGTGATATTTCAGGCTTTCAACGTAACCGAGAGGCAGAATGAACAATGCCTCGTCACAGCTCAGACCATCCACCGAGTTAGCTTTCTGGTGCATCGGGATCTATCACGCCGCGGATTTCTCCTTCACTTTCACAGGAGGCAGAATGCACAATCTCTGAGCAGAAAGCAAAGTTTCGTGGCAAAACAGATGCTGGTATTTGTTTTACAAAGTAGAATCATCAGAGCCTTTCTATTGCCAGAGACAATAATGTCGTTTAAAAATTCCTCCTGATGCACTTATATACTGCCAACTCTCCTCCCTCCCAGCTCCCCTCCGCCCAATTCCCCTCCCCCCCGCTTTAAGGTTAAGACTATAGAGTCAAACCGTCAAGAAACAGTAAACTCAGAGAAAGCCTTTGAGAAGAGATCACAAAAGGTTGGATAGACAGTCTTCTCTTGCCAGGTAGTTTAGCTGTTCTCTAGTCCTGTTTAGATTTTCTTTCTTTCTTTCTTTCTTTCTCTCTCTCTCTCTCTCTCTCTCTCTCTCTCTCTCTCTCTCTCTCTCTCACACACACACACACACACACACACACACGCACACGGCAACATGATTTAGTAACTTTCAAAATTACCTGACTTCCCTCTTAGCCATCTCTTAAGATGTTTGCAGCATAGAATGCTCTAAATACCAGTAGCAAATATGTTGGGTTAAAAAAAATAACAAATACAGTTAGTGAGAGTCAAATAGGGAAAAACAAAAGCCAGAAATCTTGGGAAATGTTACCTCTATTTAAACGTGATATGTATCTCTGTATGTGCTCACATATTCACACATTTATATATTTTTATACTTCTAGTAAGAATCTTTCTGAATGTCAAATGCATTCTTTTGTTCCTTTAACTTCCCCCTGTGTGTGTGTGTTGTGTGTGTGTGTGTGTGTGTGTGTGTGTGCACGAAGAATGTGACAGACAGCTTTCTTGTGGCCATCAGCACACGTTGTATATCCGGGGTCTTCTCCAGGAACCTTGGGGGTCGATCCCGATAAAAAGATCTAGTGGAGGCCCCTGCCCGCACACACATGAAAGGCAGGGGACTTTAAGATGGATTTGCATGCACACAGGGGATTTCGATCAATAGCTACCAACATTTATGGCTTAGATTATTAATGTGAAAGCTGGCCAAAAGAATGGAGATGAAAAATTAAAGGTGTCTGTTATCAATTATGTTTAAAGTTATGCAATAATTTACTTACTTTGAGTGTGTGTACAGATCCAGATGTATATAAAGTGCTATCTCTCAAAAGCAAAGGACTTTCTTTGATAAATTTGTCGACCATGTCAACCTCCTTTACAATCAACTGTGAACCCAGTTCAGGAGATGGTCAGTCTTAATTTCTTCTTAACAAAATATCTATTGATTCTTATGCTTCCCAAAGCCATATATATATGTTTGTTGATACACTAAAATCCACATATATGTATGTTCCACCTTCATAGCTCCGTGAGTGAAGTATGTGCATGTTTAGATATATGCACAAGACATACCCTAAATTTATTAATTAAATATGATAATTTTTGTGGTGAGGAATGTGCAATCTATAATCTATGGTAGAAAGTAGTTCAGCTTTCAAAACAATGCTGCTTGGTCAAAGGAAAAGCATCATTAATAAATAAAGATAAAAAAGATTCTTAACACCTACTTACTATATGTATTGTTAAAAAAAGATTGCGCTTTCATTTTTTAAAAAGGTGTTAAATGAATGAAAATACAAAACTTTATCTTTACATATCCCTTGTGAATGTGCTAAATTTACCTTCAGATGCTGTATTTTGATTTATTTTCCCTGCATTTTTATGTTTAAATACCATTGCAATTCAGTCTGACCTCTTCCCTCTGGAGCCGAGTAATGCACACAGCATTTACAGTCTTTTAAATGGTTAGCTGGGAAATGCAACAGCAATTTGCAGCAGTAGTTTACTAATGGGGAAAATTCTTTTGAAAACCTGAAGGAAAACCTAAGGGTACTTTTGCATTTTCCACACTACAACTGTCATATAATTAAAGTACTGAAGAGCATTAAAATAAACCTTTTCCTTCCAAGCTCTCACCCAGACATACATAATTTAAATAAGGATTCAACCCCTCAGTCCTCTCCCCCACCTCCTTCTCTGTATACATTTGTTTTAGTGATCCATGGGCACAATTTGTTCAAACTGGATTAAAAAAGAAAACAGTTTGAGGACATCACAGAGACACCAATAACGTAAGTATAATAGTTAGAAAGAATAAGAGGAGTTCCTTCTGCTATTAGTAAAAGGCAAATGTAATACTTAAAAGATAGCATAAATTAAAATATGAGAAAAATAATCATGTTGAATTGAACCACTTGAAGATGTGAGACAATGAAATCCTATCTGACAGTTAAAAGATCCATAACTTAATTTATCCAACAATATCACACCTTTTAAGGTTTTTGGGGGGAAGGGGAGAGGATAAATAATAAACTAAGCAACAATATACAATCTAGCTAAGTGTATTTTCCTCGAATTTTCTTTTCTTTTAGGCTGATCTCAAACTGACCAGGAATGATGGTGTCTTCCAAACTGCCTATCTTTCTATTCTGAGGCATTTTAAAATCCTGTTTTTAACAGGAGTTCAGGGCACATAGTACATGCCATGTTGTCTACTGACCCATAATCAAAATGCAGTGACCTTCTACCCTTTTTTTGCCCCTTGACCCATCTTGAATTCAATGCAGCCTTTATAAATTTGCAAATCCTTGGAGGTAAAGAGGGTTTTGTGAGGCTTTGTTCTGAAAAGGCCCTAAAAGTGTGCATTTTGAATTAGACAAAGGTACAGCAAAGGACCCTGATGCATTAGACCATTTTCTTATGTACAGGTGAGCAATATGCTACTCAAGAATTATTATCAGAAATTATATATTGTGAGCTAAAAAGCAATGATAAATGTAGGAGGATCAGAAAGTTATGAAATGCATCAAATCAGCAACATGATACAAATCATTTTGATAATGTAAGGATTGGTCAGGCCACAAAGCTCCAGTTGTCCATGTTTCCAAGGACTGTGAGGACCCTGGTGATCAAGGAAGGAATAGGAAGGGAAGAGGGAGGATGACAGACAGAGAAAAGACAGGGGGACAGGGAGAGAGAGAGAGAGAGAGAGAGAGAGAGAGAGAGAGAGAAGAGAGAGAGAGAGAGAGAAAGAGAGAGAGAGAGAGAGAGAGAGAGAGAGAGAGAGAGAGAGAGTAGAGGATAGAAAAGAGATATGATCTGAATCTGCAGGCCCATTCCCTTATCTTTCCTGCTATCAACCAGTTTAAAGGACACCATAATTATGATGGTGATAAAACAATGCTTGCTTATGTGTGCTGAATAAATAAAGAATATTTACAGCTCAAGAATCTTTTAATTCCAATTAAATGCTATCAAAGAAAAGGCACTTTTCCTTCTGCAAGCGCCTTCCCCCCCCCCCCATTATCTTGTTTTGTTGCAATATTTTCCTGAGACTCAAGGGCATTTTAGAACGTGCCTCTGAATTTAGGGAAAAAAATCTGGAAAAGTAGGGTGCAAAACAGATTTTTTAAAATGACACCTAGATACCAAGAACCTCAATTTATTTGGATTACCAGAGTTTTTATTTGTTTATTTTACACAGGGACCAAATGTGTAGAGATTCAGTGCTAAGTGACACTGAAGTGTCAAGCGCCATCCCTGGCTGCTGAGGCTTCTCTGGAAAACTCAGTAGCACCCATAGGCGGCAGAGAGCAAGGAAGGAGGTACAAGGGACAATACCAGCTTCCGAAAGCAGTTTTTGTTCCAATCCACTGGCGGTAGCCCAAGCACCTCTAGGAATATGAACTCCAGTCAGTACCTTCCACTGTTGCAATTAAACAGAGCACAAAAAAGTAGGAGATAAAAAACTCACAAGTTTCCAGTTAAGTATGCACAAGGATCCTTTCAAATATTAATTGTATCAACAGATCTCATCTCAATCAGATTAAAACAAGGTTTTATAGAGCAATGCCCTGCAGCCCGGGCACTAATGCTTTATTGGATTACACAGAAACCAGGAAATTCCCTTTTTTGGTTTGTTTTGGAATCATTGGAGTAAAATGAAAATTAAGGCATTTCAAGCTGAACAGCTATGTTTTATGAGGTCGATTCTCCCCTCCCCCCCAAATTGAAAAGAATCGTCTCTACCCAATTCCTCACATACTATTCAAATTCAAACTTTCATTTCCAATATTTCTGGGTTCTTACTGTTTTGTTTGTTGTTTTTATAAGCACATGGCACAACAAACGTTATGTAAAACGCACTCATAGCGTTAAATGCTGATACAAATCTGCCTTTCACTCCATCTGTCTAAGTATCACAATTGCTAAGTGTAAACTTAAAAAAAAACTTTCCATAGATAAAATGTTTAATATTTCTTGGCAAATTACACTTGGTGATGTAGTGCAAAATATAGTGTTAAAAAAAAGCCTGAGTATTTGTAAGTTTTCTAGATAGTTGTAGGCACCCTTCCTTTTGAAAGTTTAGACCTCCAATACCCTCGATTCTACCGGCAGAATTAGGATAGACTTAGAGGGTCCTAAACGCGACCGATTCACTAAGGCGGGGGGCTACAGCTTGCAACAACGTGCTTGGCAACTTAATCCTACACTAAAAGAGGGCAGAGAGCGGAAAAAGAATGGAATACAAACTCTTCCGACATTTGTAGTTACTTTCGAGGTGGATCGTATATTTTCAGGCTGATGGGAACGTCTGACTTTTGGAGCGAAAAGAAGAGAAGGTAAGTGTCTGTCCTTGTATCCGGCAGTTCGTAGAGAAACAATGAAAGAACAAAGGGAACCCACTTCACCATTTGAACATTTTTTTTTAATATCTCCCTCCGTCTCAAGCTAACGGCCAAGGAGCCTGGAGGACTCGTTTAACTTTGCCTTTAGATGGTCTGTGGCAGGTCTCGTTTGGACTAAGAATAGGCAAAAGTTGAGGGGCTATTTAAATAAATAATAATAAAAGCTTGCTGCGGCTGATCAGTACAACACAATCAGCAGAATCCAACCAGAAGTTGTTAAATGCCAGTAGGTAAAACCCATGAAATAGCCTTTAAATGACAGAAATCAAACTTCATATCAGTCAAATATCTTTCTTGTAATTTTAAGGGTTCATCTTCCTCAAAATTGGGAGGGGGGAGAAGATGGTTGAAAGGCATGTGATATTTAAGGCATAAAACAAGTCACAAGAATTGATCTCTCGATGCTGACTAGGAAGGCGTTTAAAAAAGCAAAATAGGATTAAAGCTTCGACACGATTGTTTGCTAATGGAAGAAAGTGCAGTAAAGGCTGGGCACAGAGAGGGGATTCGTGTACAAATAAATAGTATTCTCTTTGGCTGCGTTGAACATCAGCAAAGTCTCGCTTTGTCGGTCGGTGTAGCAGAATGAGTAAGTGACCCAGTGCCGGCGGCATTATATAAATAGATCCGAGAGGGAGGGGGAGCCCCCAAAGCGGACGGGCACGTGAAGCACGCGTTTTTACTGCCCCCAAAGCGGCCACCGACCCCCCCTCCCGCCTCCACCCCACCCTCAAATCCGTATATTACCTGCCCTGTTACAGTGACACATGTTTATGTTTATAGTCCTGGTTTGTACTAGTGTCAAGAGCCCCAGAAAGAGGGGGAGGGAGGAGGAGGAGAGAGAGGAGGAGGAGAAAATACAACCACCCCCACTTGTTGTTAAAGCAAATTTACTGCGTTATTGCATACCGTGTAAAAAAAAAAGAGGGGGGCAGCGCATAGGGGAGGAGGGTGGAGAGGAAGGGGAGAGTTGGGCTATGGGGTTGGTGGGTGGGTGGGTGGGTGGGGGCTGCAGTGCTCGAGCCCAGCTCCTCCGCCTCGGGGAAAGGCAGCCCGGCAGAAAGGGCGAGCGGCGGCCGGGAAGTAGAGGGGCCTCCCCTTCAGCGCGCCGCCTTCACGTGGGGGCTCGGCGGGCGCGCGGGGCTCCCAGGCGCTGACCTCTCACCCCGGCTCCTCTCGGCGTTTTCCTTCAGCGGCCGCGGCCACTTTTTACCCAGAATCCCTCGCGCGGGCCGCGCTCGTGCCGAGCTCGAGACTTCCCTAATCCTCGGCCGGCGCCGCCCCCCCACCCCCACTCACTCCCCACCCCACGCCATTCCGGGCGCCTTCCCTTCCCTTCCTTCCCCGCCGCCCCTCCCCCCCCACCCGGTTCCCTAGCGCCCTGGGGAAGGATTCTCTCGGCTGGGAGCCCCCGCCTTCCCTCCCTTCCTCTCTTCTTCTCCATCCTCCCCCTCCCCCCTCCCCAATCCCCAGGGAGCTCCGGCGGAGATGGCGGGAGTAGGCGGGGGTGGTGGCATGGGGTGGAGGTGGGGGAAGTGGTGGAGCTGGGCCTTCCGTGTGCTTCCTGGCCCAGCTGGAGAGGGAGGGAGAGGGGGAGGGGAGCAGAAAGGAGGGGGAGAGGGGCTGCTTGCCCCGGGGGGTTGCGGCAGCCACAGCAGCAGCCCTAGATGGGGGGTGGAGGATGACCAGTACCTGTTGAATATTATTGGACCCCATTAATCTTGTTCCTTTTCTCTCTCCCTGCTAACCACATCTTTAGCTCCTCTAAGGAAACGTGGGAGGAAGAAATGAATGGCTTTTCTCGCTCTGATTACCCGCCTCCCCTCTCCCCCTTTTAATTTTTTTTTCTTAAAAACAAGAAAGCTCAAACTCTATCCCCCTTCCCCCTCTCCTGCAAGTATAGCTATGGGTTTGCACCTCCCCCTCCCCCACTTCCCACAATAAACTACTCTTCTCTTGGAGAGGAGAGGAGCTCCCTTCTGCCCAAGGGTTATACTACGCTCCAGCCCCTCCTCCCCATTTCCCTTGTGCTTCTGATTCCCTCATTTGTGAAATGTGTAGACTTGATAGTGGCTCTTCTTTCTTCCCTTTCCTTTTCCCTTCTGTACCCGATCCCCGTAGCCTACAATGCCCATGTGAGTTGTGCTCCATCCACTTCCGAAGCTCCTTCATTTGGTTCTATCTCTCAGCTTCTCTTTTTTCCTTTCCAAGAAGCAAAAAATAAATCTGATTTTTAATGTCCTGCCCAACATATGCTGTCTTACTCCCCATCCCCTTATAAAAATGCATGTATGTAATGCATTTGGTTTAAAATAGCAAACCTAAAGTTTAAAATAACTGCGTTAAAAGGGAGAAATGAAAATTGAGAGGATTCGCTCTTTTGCCCAGATCACAGCGTAAGTCAGGTTTAAAATGTAGGGGTACATTTCAGCTAAAGAAAGAAGTTTCCTTTCATTAGCTACATCTGTATCTCTAAAGTGGAATATCCTAT